CCTTCCTTCCTTCCTTCCTTCCTTCCTTCCTTCCTTCCTTTCTTTCTTTCTTTCTTTCGATTTTATTTGAGAGAAAGAGAGAGAGAGGGCGCACGAGCAGGGGGAGCAACAGAGGGAGAGGGAAAACAGGCTTCCCGCGGAGCAGGGAGCCCAACGCGGGGCTCGATCCCAGGACCCCGGGATCATGACCTGAGCCGAAGACAGAAACCAAACCGACCGAGCCACTCAGGCACCCCTCCCCTGAGGCTTCTGACCCTCAGCACCCTTAACTGCCTCCAGAGGGGTAAAGCCACTGGCCACCCAAGCCCAGACTGGAGGTCAGTGTTCTCTAGCCCCTGTGCTGATGCCCAGTGCAGGGGTCCAGAGGCACAGATGGCAGGGGCCGGTCGATGCTACCCCCACTTCCCAGGAGGATGGTCCTGCAGCAGGGTCTAAGCCCCCTCTCAGCTGACCTGAGAGTCACTTGTGCCTCCCAAGGGTCCCCTCTTCCCCAGGGTTTAGCCTAGGGCCACCCACTATCTCGATAACCAGATCAGTCAGGAGCTCTTAGCCCCTACAGGACAGTGTTTTAGGAAAGGCACTTCTCATGGAGGGTGCTGGCCTTGTGCTGTGCTTGCTTCCTGGGACAGACAGACAAAGCCAGGTCTGCCCTGGACAGAGATCCAGAGGACAACCTGCTAAGCTCTGCCACCCTCAGATGACTAGGGTCACTAACTCAGCATTGGCGTCTCTCTAGAGGGCCTTGTCCCCTTCTTGAAAATTCAGCCAGCCAAAGCCAGTCAATTTGTGTGTTCCTTCAGCCAGGGCAGGGCCTCTGGGTGAGTGGAAGAGGAGCCCAAGGTAGGGATAGATCAGCACCAGTTTAAACCAAGTCCTTGGGTCAAGTGGCCAAGCCGTCGGCATTCCTGTAGTCAGAACACCCGGACTCCCATGGGCATCTGATTGACAAGATTGAAAGACCCACCTCTGGAGGGTCAGCCCAGGCTGGTAAGGCTGCAGTGAGGATTGCATGAGAAATGACTAGAAAGCACCTCACGTGTGGGGGCCCTGAGGAATGGCAGGTGTCATTGAGACCTGTTGCATTTCTGTGCTGCTTTGTCCTGTGGACAGTGCATTCAGGGATTTTTATTCCAAAGCTAAGGTCATGCTCACCCACCCTGCTCCTCCTGCTGAGATAGTTTGTCCTGGGGTTTCAGCTTTCTCCTCCCACCCCCAAACTCCATGGACCATGGACCTTGGCCTCACACATGTGGGTCTGGGAGTCTCAGCTCTGCTTTGTACAGTGACTTCTATAAGCCCCTTCCCCCATCCTGGACAGTGGGGTTACCCCAAATGCCTCACAGGATGGGTTGCTGAAGGAGTAAATGCTGAGTGCTTAGCACCGGCCTGGCTTTCCCAGGCTGGTTATGCCCCTTCTGGTCCTCAGTGTCCCCATGTGGAAGTGGCTCTTGCCTGCTACCCACATGTGGTTTGCAGCCAGAGCAGAAGCAGACTCTGATTCCTTGTCTAGGGACCATGGTGCCTGCCGGCAGCGGATGGCTGTTGGGAGACTGGCATGGCCTTGGGGCAGTCTGGGATGGGGTGGGCCTGGGTTATCAACAATACCCAGGGTCCCGCTGAGGACTCCCTTGTGTGCCAGAGCTGCCTTCATGTGGGGGAGGGGGCTGGGGGTTTACTGTTTCTTCTGCTTGTGCCTCAGGGAAAAGGAAATAATCAAGAAGAAAAAATCTCAAGAAAGTGAGAGCACCATTGCCGCCCGAGAGGTCCGGGGCCTCATGGACACCATCGGTGAGCCTCTGTTCAACCGTGAGGGCAGGCCTGGCTCTCTCCCCTTGGCCTCCTTCCCTCGGCCTCCTCCCCTGAGCCTCCTCCCCTGGGCCTTCTCAATACAGGGAGCTGGGTGGGAGGCAAGGGGCTCTGTACACTCGGCATTTACTGATGAAAATCAGTTGGGAACAGATGTTTTTTTCCTGCAGTTTCACAAGAGGATTTCAGTCTACATTGTCTTCCTTCATACCGTGGAGGAAGGCTCTTTTTCTTCATGATTAAAAAAATAATACACGCTCACTCTAAGTAATCCCTACACCCAACGTGGGGTTCAAACTTACAACAGGCACCCCCAATATACACTTACTGTGGAAAAACGAAGGAGATAAGCAGAAAGTAAAAAGTATCCCTTCACAATAGCACTGCCTCCTCCCGAGAATGGCCCCCACCACAAAACCACATGGGGCATACGATACCTAGGTTCCCACATAGATTCGGGGGACAGCAGAGCACAGGGCAGGAACGCGGACCCTAGAGCAGACGGCCCACATCCAAACCCCTGCTCAGCCCATGCCTGAGCGTCCTCACTTGTAAAATGGGGCTGATCGAATAGAACCTGCCTCTCGGCCTCTTCAGGAGTGGTGATTGAGTTAGAACAATGCCTGGTACATGGTAAGCGCTATATACGTGTTGGTTATTCTTATTTGTATATATATGTGCTTCTATTTTAGGGGCACCTGGGTGGCTCAGTTGGTTGGGTGACTGCCTTTGGCTCGGGTCATGATCCTGGAGTCCTGGGATCGAGTCCCACATCGGGCTCCCTGCTCAGCGGGGAGTCTGCTTCTCCCTCTGACCCTCTTCCCTCTCGTGCTCTCTCTCATTCTCTCTCTCTCAAATAAATAAATAAAATCTTTAAAAAAAAACTTTTTTAAAAACATAACTGGTCCCATTCTATATGTCCCATTTGGATACTTTCTGGCATTTAACTGTAGATGCAAGACTTCATTCCTTATAGCACTTAGGGGTCACCTCTGTCTTTTCTCTTTTTCCTTAAGTCTCTGACACTGTGGCCTGGTTTTGGGGTCCATCTCCTGAGCCAAGGCACTTTCTGCCTTGCTGACTTTTTCTGGGTGCTCTCCCCTTGCTTCGAAGCTCTGAGGACAGCCTCCCCACCTCTGTTGTTCTCCCTCAGTTCCCCAGAGGCCCTGCACCGCCACCCTGGGCACCACGGGAATGGACTCCAAGAGGCGGGGCTACGAGAGTGCTCTGGGGAGCTTTAAGGAGGAGATTGCTCAGATTGGGATGGTGAGAGTCCTCCCTCTCTCCCCTTCTGTTCCTGGGCCATTCCCAAGCCGGGCTTGTCACTGCACCCACCCCCACCCCCCCCGCCCCGGCTCAGAGGTCCTGAGTGGCTCACCAGTGGTGTAGATGGAATCAGAGTAGCCATGTTTGAGTGTCTCACTATGAGTGCTCGAGATGGGCACAGCTGTCTAAGTCAGGCACCATTATTACTCCTACTCTGCAGGTGAGGCCCAGAAAGTCTTGCCTGACTTGGCACGTAAGGGGCCAGGTGGGAACCAGACTCCAGGGCTGATGCCAAAGCCCAGACCTTGAGCTCCCTGCTCAGTCCTGCTGGGGGTGCTGGTCTTCCCACCCCCTGCCAGTCATCACCTCACTCATCTGTCCCATGTGTACATGAGCTCTACTTTCGCCCATGGCTCTGTGGCTTTGGTCATGCAGCATAACTGAGCCTCAGTTTCCTCATCGGAAGTAAACTTGGAATTCTTTCACTGGGCACTTCTTTAATGAATATTTGCTGAGCCCCAACCAGGGACCAGGCCCGAGGTCAGCACCTACTCCAGACCAAGAGAGTCTGAGGACGAGGGCTCAGCCCGGAGCGCAGAGCCCAGGACGTGGCCCGTGACTGATGGAATGGTGCCTGCCCTTGTGCTCTGGCTGTGAACGAATTCGTGACTCCTAGCTCCTTAGTTCTAGGGAATGATGATCAGTTTCAAGGCAGGATGACAGCAGGCACTTCCCCATCACAGGCCCGGGGTGGGAGGAAGGGCCAGGCGCTCTGGTGGTGTTGATACCATGGCTGTTGCCCTACTGGCCCGTTTTAGGAAATGGAACCTTTTATCTTGGAGCCAGGAACTCTTCTTTTAAAAAAGCTGGCCGAGTCGGATGAAGACATCGACCGGCTCTTCAAAAAGGTGGAAAGCGACACCAACCTCGAAGACTACACCATCCAAGTAGGGGTTCCCTTGTGACCAGGCCTGCCCCACCTGGGTCCTGCTCCTTCCCTCGCAGCCCATCTGTCCTCCCAGCCTGACCCAAGCTTCTTGGCATAGACCCTGCTGGAGCTGTGGGATCAGGTGGCTGAGAAGTTCCAGTTCCAGAAGCAGGGGATCAAGGAGCTGGATGAGGCCCTGTACGAGGCTGAGTTCTCCCGGGCAGATAAAGTGAGTTGGCCTGCATGTGGGCTTGTGGTGATTTTCACCTGTGGGATTTGTGAGGCATCGTCTGTCCTTTTACGTCTCCAGGAAAAGAGTCGCTAACAATGGCAACTTGTTTCTAGCTCAAAGGCGTGTTGAAGAAATATGTGGAAATCATAGAGAAAACTTCCTACCTCATGCAGCCCGAAGTGTACAGGCTGATAAATAAGGAAGCCATGGTGAGTGGTTTGCATGTGCAGGGGATCAGCCCACAGGTAGAGCAGGACCTGAGGATGCCCCAGAGCCTGGTGTCTCAGGAACCAATGTTTTCTCATGGGTCACATTTCCAGGTAACTCAGGTTGGTCACTTGGGTTCTGAACCAGAGTTTTTGTTAAGTATTTTCAATAGAAATCTTTCTAAATTACATGGCACCCATCCCTGCTGTCTTAATCCCACTGACCTGGTCAGAGCCCCTCAGATGCTGCCACTGCCCCACTCGGCCCCGCTGGGCCCCAGGCCCTCTGCCTGCACCTCACCTGGCCCCCCTTCCCACTATTCCTCTCCAGCTGAGCCTTGTTCTGAGCTTGGAGAGCTCCCGCCTTGTGTAGAGCCTGCCTGCCTGTACCACAGGTCATAAGCCAAACCAGCACACCGTCCCTGGTTTGAGCACTGATGTATTTTACGAGCACGCCTGGGCCCTGTCTCAGCTTACCATGTGCAGTGCAGTAGTGCTAGATGATGGGGCTGTCCTGCTCTCAGGGTGCTTTGTACCCTCCTAAGTGACCCCAGCTTGCTCTGTTTTTCTAGTGGTTCTTGTCTGCCTTCCTGCTGGCTGCCAGTGTCTGTTGTTAAAGCATGCCCTTTCTCCTGGCTCTTCCCCACTGCTTCCTTGTCCACACCCCACCCCTGCCCAGCTGCTTTCTTTGGGTGTAGGAAACAAGAAATTCAAGGTTCTGCCCCTTGGAGTCCTGGACAAAGCACAGACAGGGAGCGGACACAGACCTCCCCCTCCACTGCCCAGACACACAAGCTCCCGACATCACTCCGCTCCGGCACCTGGAACTCCTTGTCCATAAAATGGGGATCACGATCCTTAAACACCAATACTTATTGGGGGGAGTGGAGTAAAAGACGGCTCAGCAGTGCCCGCAGTTGTTTGAGACAAGCAAGAGTCCCTAACTTTTATCCATTTGCTCTATTGGGGGCGGAGGGGTCAGAGATAGCAGCGACCTGGGGATATTTCATTGTTTGACTTCCACACCCTTATTATACTCATTATAACAATTGGCACTCGCTCCTTACTCCATGTGCATTTATCTCATTTAATTTCACAAAATCCCTAGGCTGCCAATAACATTATCTTCGTATTATGCCTGCAGAATTGGAGGTTTAGGAAAAACCTGCCGGTGCCCCCCCAGCTAGGAAGTATAGCTGGCGACACACCTCAGGTTCCAGTGAAAATTGTTACTGGAATTTCTACTAGTTGAGCTTTGTTCTCACCCTTGCTCCAGGGTGGTGCCTCAAGGGCTTTGGGCAGCTATGGAGGTGTTTGGCTGTTGCACGCCTCGGGGGCATGGGAGAGACTGCTGTCATAAAGGGGGCAGGCTACCAAGTAGCAGAACAGTGCCACACAATGAAGAATTGTCCCTACTGCCCTGCCAAGGATGCCCAGGGGAGGGTCACTGGGAGGACTGAGGAAGAATGTTCTAGCGCTGGCCTCATTTGGTAATTGGGTCTTCTCATCACAACCATATGTAACTGATCCCTGATGGCATGAGCACTTTGCTTTTGGAGCAAATTTATTAAAAAAAAAAAACAAACAGTTAAACAGTGAGAGCCCACGAGAGTGCTTATCTCCAGTGAATTAAAATCAGCTACTTTAACGATCTGATATGGTCTTGGGACTGGGTTGAAGGTCCATGGTTAAGTCAGGGGTCATAGGTAAGCCTTCAGGAAAGACCCCTGTCACTGTCCATGGCCGCTCAGCCCCAGGCAACTTCGTTGAGTGCCCTGTGACCCCTCAGAGCCCCTCAGATGCTGCCACTGCCCTACTCGGCCCCGCTGGGCCCCAGGCCCTCTGCCTGCACCTCATCTGGCCCCCCTTCCCACTATCCCTCTCCAGCTGAGCCTTGTTCTGAGCTTGGAGAGCCCCCGCCTCGTGTAGAGCCTGCCTGCCTGTACCACAGGTCATAAACCAAGCCCTACTGGGCAACCGGAGGGCCATCGCCCAGCTGTTCACCAACCTCATGGAGGCCACGCTGCAGCAGGAGCTGGAGAGCCACCGCCATTGGCAAGGCCTGGTGGACGCCTGGAAGGCTCTCAAGAAGCAGGCCCTGGTGCAGAGTTTCAGGTCCGTGGCTGCCCGCTCTGCCCGCTGCTCTTCCCCAGCCCCACCTGGGAGGCTGGCTCAGCAGGCTGGTGGGCCCCGCCCTCCCTTTTTGTCGGGACTCCAGAGTGCTGCTCTTCTTCTGGGGGTAAAAATACATGCTTCTTCTTCTACTTCTTCTTCTTTTTTTTTTTTTCAAGTTGCAGTAGATCAAAGTATAAAGAAGAAATTTAAAATCTCCACTAATCTCTCGCCACAGGGAGAAGCACAGCTGATATTTTGGTATATTTCCTCCCAAGCTTTTTTAGACCCACACTGCATATGTCGCTTTGTATCTTAATTTTCTTCATAAACATTATCACATAAGCATTTTCTGAGCCCAGTACAAATTGTTTGAAAACATCAGGCTGATTATCTGCCCAGTTTCCACTCTACTGCTACACATAACCTTGTGTCACTGGACCAGGGAGAATGGGAGTCCCTCAGGCTTTGATACCTCCTGCCCTCTGGTATCGAGGTTCACCTCAGGGAGGGAGGGAGAGGGCCCATCTCTGTGCTGCCTCCGCCAGGTGGCCCTTTGGTTAATACTGACACAAGACATCTCTGCCTGTACCACAGGTCATAAACCAAACCAGCACAGCGTCCCTGGTTTGAGCACTGATGTATTTTACGAGCACGCCTGGGCCCTGTCTCAGCTTACCATGTGCAGTGCAATAGTGCTAGATGATGGGGATGATGGGGATGATGTCTGAGGATGCCAAAGAAGGTCTGTCCGTCTGCGCTATGGGTCTGTGGATGGGAGGCCCATCTGTACACCTGAATTTCCAGATGGAGAACACCAGAGTCTGACACCGGGGATAGAAGAGAAGTGTACTGAGACCTGGCTCCACCTGTACTTTCCCTGTGACCTTGATCAAGCACTTGAATGTAGTAGAGCTTTTCTTTCCTTATGCAAAGCAGGCACGATGATGGGCCAGCATTAGGGTTTCAGTGATGATCAAGATGCTATATGGAAAGTGACAGGTCGGGGCCTGGGCCTGGAGGTTGTTACAAATGTCAATAATCACCAACAGTGACGTCAGGAGCTGACACTTATGGGGCATTTCCCCTGAGCCAGTCTTGGTGCTAGGGGCTTTGCTTGCAGTAACTTACTGGGTCCTTATAGGTACCAGGTAAGGAAGGTACTCTTCATTAGCTCAATTACAGACAAGGAAACAGATTCACAGGAGGGGAGTGACTTGCCCAAGGTCATAGAGTTGGCAGGCAGGAGTCGGGACCCACACCTAGATCTGTGCCTGTTGGTCCCATGCTCTTAGTGCCAGAGCCTCACTGGCAGCCCCCTGGTTCTTCTCTCCCGCCTCCCACCCTCCCTCCTCTCATCGTTGTCCCAGTGGCCCCCGATGGGGAGGAAGCAGCTGGAGTGGTGTAAGTACTTAGGTTCTGAATGTTCTTACCACGAGTCTCATCCCCTCTCTCCCACCTGCCCTGCCCCTCCTCTCCTCTCCGTGGTGCCAACGCATCTGGATACTCAGTGAGTTCATGGCCAGTGAGAGGATCCGGACTCCTCCAGCTGTGAAGAAGGAGATGGAGAGCATGCTGAAGAACCAGAAAGCCCTGCAGCAAAAGCGGCTTGAGCATCTCTGTACCATCTGGTATGCTGGGAGGGGCCTCCAGCGAGGGATGCTATGGGGGAGGCAGGCACAGTCCTCAGCATTGACCATTCTCCTGGGGCATCCTCCAGGCCAGGCCAGCTCCTTGTTCCCTAGTCCTGTGCCATCCACCTAGGCCCATGTTCTGGGGCATTCCAGCCCCAGTGACAACAAAGAACATAACTGTGCCAAAAAACTTGGAAGGAGGCATTGGCAAAGGGGGGCAGGGTGAGCAGGGGAGGAGGGGCCAGGTTCAGGGGTTGGACTTTTTCCTGAGAGCTGGTGGGGAGCAGAGTGGCTCCATCAGCCTTGCAGTTTGGAAGGCGAGCTGGAGGGTCGGAGGCTGGAGCCTGGAGGTCAGTGAGGGGGCTGCTGCCATCAGGGAACCTGTTAGAGGCTGTGCACGCTCCCCTCAGCCCTGGGCTCACCCAGCTCTGATCCCATAGTAAGCTGTTTGGTGAGGCGCACAGTGAATATCCTAGACCCTGGAAGCCCACTGCCTGGGGATCCTATAGCATCCACTCTGAGCAGTAGGACGGAGCCTGCGTGGTCCTGAAAGTGGAGAAGGTTCACAGGCTGGGAGATGCTCCTCCTCTTCCGGTGTACCTTGGTTCCTCCCACCCCTAACCCTGGTAACCCAGGCTTACCTGCTTGTCTCCCCACCACAGAGCCTAAGTTCTCCTAGGATATCAATGACAATTAGAACCCCACACAATCTCCCCCAGGGCAGGCACTTTTTCATGCAGGTGCAAAATTAACAAGGTGGATAAAAATCTCAGCATAAGGTAAAGTGCTTTTCTTGTTTTCTATAACTCCACTTTTTCCGACTGAGTCCCTGTTTACTAAACTGGGCCAAACTCAGTCTTTCTTGGGGTTGTATCCATTGAGGTGAAGCCGTGAATCCCCATCCATCACAGGCCCCTTGAAGGGGTCTGTTCCTCTGTATTTGATCCACCCACATGCCCTGGGGCAGCTGCTGCAGGAATCTTGAGGAGGCTACTCTGCACCCCTGTGGCCTCACACCCAGGCAGCTGTTTTGCTCTGGGTACCTGGGTCTTACACCTGCACCCCCACCCCACTCCGGGCCTTCGACCAGGAAGGAGGACCCAGGCTGCCACTGCCAGGCAACCGCAGTCCTCTCTGTCCGCCCCTGCCCCCAGCTCCCTTCTGTTGGGTGAGGAGAGAGCCCTGGTCCTCCACTCTCAGCTGCCAGCCCAGCTCCCCTCCCCCGGGCTCCTGGCCCACTCCCGCCAAGGCTTCCCCTCCCCAGTGCTCTAGGCTCTCCTGAAAACTTAGATTTTGAGAACAAAATCCAGATTTCTAGGCTGCTCTCTTTTCTACCCTGCAACATCCCTCATACCAGCTGTGAACACTGCGCTGGCTGGCTACTGCCTGAGTAAAGGGGAGTGACAGGGCCAAAGACAGGAAAGTGCATTCCCTGGCGCTTGTGGCCCTTGCTGGGAAACACTATGTAATGGCAGATTGTCTGGGGGCAGAGCATGGAGCTGGTGGGTGACTTGACCTGAGCTGAGGAAGTTGGGGGCAACTCTCTGAAATCAGAGGCAAGAGTGTGCGGGTACAGGACCCAGCAGCTCCTTTGCAGTGAGAGCATAGAAAGAGGGGAAGCCAGGACATGATCTGTGTCTGAAGTGTGTACTGCAAACACAAGTTTGAAGGTGCAACTTAAAGTTGCAAAGCCTCGAGCATAGAATTCCAGTGAACATCAAGAGTGAAGGTTTGCGTTTGTGGTTTATCTTGGCAGCACTCACAGAGCACACTGTGTAGACACCCACCTGTGTCTTCTTAACCTGTGAAGGAGCCAGGGAGCCTTATAATCAAGCCCAACGAGCTGTCCCAGGGAACTGCCTCACATGGGGTTCCATACCCCAACCTGACCCAGAGCTCCAGGCCTTACTCCTGAAACCCCAGAGCCCCAGACTTTGCTTCTCTGTCTCTCATATAGAGATATCAAGGGTCCTCAAGCTCCCACCCTTGGGCCCCTGCTTGTTTGCAAATAAGTTCCATTGGAACACAGCTGTGCTCATTTGTTCACATATTGTCTAAGGCTGCTTCTGCTCTACAGTAGCAGAAACGAGGAAGTTGCAGGGCACCCGGGTAGTTCAGTGGGTTAAGTGCCTGCCTTCGGCTCAGGTCATGATCCCAGGGTCCGGGGATCCAGCCCTGTGTTGGACTCCCTGCTCAGCGGAGAGCCTGCTTCTGCCCCTCCCCTGCGTACTGTTGTTCTCTCTTTCTCAAATTAATACAATCTTAAAAAAAAAAAAGAAAAGATTCCTAAGGCCCCCAAGAGAGAGTTTTCCAAAGTCCTGGGAGAATTCCCATGGATTTTCTTGGATCCAATAAACATATATGCATATGATTTTAAAATAATTTTCAAATTCAATTTTTATTTTGGAGTAACGTTAGATTTACAGAAAACTTACGATAGCACACAGAATTCCTGTACACCCCTTACCCACTTTCCCCTAATATCGTTATCTTACATACAAAACGAAGAAATTTAACTTTCATGCATTCCCATTAACTAGACACCAGACATTTTCAGATTTCACCAGTTTTTCTACAATGCCCTTTTTCTGTCCCAGGACCCAATCCAGGACACAATATTGCACTTAGTATAATGTTTAGACTGGAGATTATGCTGTGCGCCGTCTTGTAGTTATCTTTTGCTATTTACGGCCCCACCATAAGTAGGCTGCCCAAGACCATCCTGGGTTACAACTCTTGTCCTGGTATAATCATTAATAGAATCCCTCTCTTCATTGTCAAAAATGTCCTGGTTTGGACAATAAGTTATATGGTCCTCCTCACCATATGCATCTTTCCAAACCATTAAACACCACCCAAAATTTAGTGACTTAAAACAACAAGCATTTCTTGTTTCTCAGGATTCTGTGGGTTGTTTCCCACAGGGTGTTTCCCTTGGTCTGGGCTGGTCAGGCTGAGGCTAGATGGTCTAGAATGGCCTCACTCCCATGCCTGGAGCCTGGGCTGGGACAGCTGGGGCTTCTCTGGTGGGTAGGCAAAGCTCCCAGCACCAAGAGCGGACAAGGAGAGCACACAAGCCTTTCCAACACACGGTCTCGTTTGCTAACGTCTCATTGGCTAAAGCAAATCACGTGGCCCGGCCCCGCTCAGGGGTGGAGAAATAGACTGAGGGGAGCCCCTAAGGACATTGGCCGGTTTTTCAATCTGTGGCACTATCTGTAGTGACTTCAGAAGAGAATTCACTGTACTTTATTTAGACAGAACCCTATAGTTGGATATGAAGTTTGTTTATGATTTTTTGAGTGCTTATAAACACTACTATTAAGCATCTGTCTTAATGCGTAAACTTTGTATGCATTTATATTATTATCTCAGATTCGGTTCCTAGAAGGAGGCAAGTAGTCTTCCTTTGTCAAGTGATATGAACCATTTGTTTTTTTCCATTACGGAAATTCAGTTTTCTTTTCTTTTTTTCTTTTTCTTTTTTTAGAGAGAAAGAGAGCGCATGCATGTAAGGCCGGGGAGTGGAGGGGGGGAGAGGGAGAGAGAGAATAGTAAGCCCACTCCAGGCCAGCTCCATCTCACCACCCTGAGACCATGACCTGAGGTGAAATCAAGAGTTAGAGACTTAACCGACTGAGCCACCCAGGTGTTCTCGGTATTATTTTCTAAGTAACAGACTTGTTAATATTAATAGACCTTTTTTTTAAATTATTATGTTATGTTAATCACCATACATTACGTCATTAGTTTTGGATGCAGTGTTCCATGATTCATTGTTTGTGTATAACACCCAGTGCTCCATGCAGAACGTGCCCTCCTTAATACCCATCACCAGGCTAACCCATCCCCCCACCCCCCCTCCCCTCTAGAACCCTCAGTTTGTTTTTCAGAGTCCATCATCTCTCATGGTTCGTCTCCCCTCCAATTTTCCCCCTTCATTGTTCCCCTCCTGCTATCTTCTCCTTCTCCTTCTCCTTCTTCTTCTTCTTCTTCTTTTTAACATATAAGGTATTGTTTCAGAGGTACAGATCTGTGATTCAACAGTGTTGCACAATTCACAGCACTCGCCATAGCACATACCCTCCCCAATGTCTATCACCCAGCCACCCCATCCCTCCCACCCCCCCACTCCAGCAACCCTCAGTTTGTTTCCTGAGATTAAGAATTCCTCATATCAGTGAGGTCATGTGATCCATGTCTTTCTCTGATTGACTTATTTTGCTCAGCATAACACCCTCCAGTTCCATCCATGTCATTGCAAATGGCAAGATTTCATTCCTTTTGATGGCTGCATAATATTCCATTCTGTGTGTGTGTGTGTGTGTGTGTGTATATATATATATATATATATATACATATATATATATATAACATCTTCTTTATCCATTCATCTGTCGATGGACATCTTGACTCTTTCCACAGTTTGGCTATTGTGGACATTGCTGCTATAAACATCGGGGTGCATGTACCCCTTTGGATCCCTACATTTGTATCTTTGGGTAATAGACCTCTTATGAGTTATATTTTTGGCACCAGGAAATCCCCAGCAAGTCAACCGTTTCTTTGATATTTACATAGATACTATACTCTGGGGCTATGTGCCTTAAAGATACTGCCTGTTCTGGTAAGTGAATATTTTATTCAAGCATGGCTTACTTGTCATATTTTCCTTCCCCAGTGACCTTCTGCCCCCCAATTACAGCAAAGCTCAGCTGACTGAATGGCAGTCTTCTCTCAACTCCCTAAATAAGCACCTTGGTAAGTGAGGTTTATGGGAGGCCACTCAGGTCTCTTCAGTACCCTGTTCATGTAGTAGCCAGTCATTTATGTGAGTCTGTTATAAACTTGGGAGTGGGGCATGTCCCCCTGGAGGAGGGAGGGAATGCAGATGGAAGAGTGAGCTCTGAGGGTTCATATAGGATCTCCCCATACCTTGCCTGGTAGAGCCCTTTTCCTCCCTCCCACAGCTTCCTGGTCACTGCCCAGCTGGCAGCCATGCCAGCCACATACTCTGATCTCTGAACCTTGACCCCAGCAAGGAGCCAGAGGGATGGCTCTGATGAACTCCTGTGGGGACAGGTTGGGGGCCAGGTACTGGGCATAGGAGATGCCAAGCAGGTGGTCTTATAGTCAGAGAGATGTGGGTTTGACCCCCAGCTCTGTGCTGTCCGAACTGTGTGGCCTTGGGGAAGGCATGACTTCTCTTGGCCTCAAACTGCTCCTCAATAAAATAGGGATCCCAAGAGGAATAATAAAGGAGGCTCAGTTGTTAAGTGTCTGCCTTTGGCTGATCCCAGGGTCCTGGGATCGAGCCCCACGGCGACTCTCTGCCCAGCGGGGAGCCTGCTTCTGCCCCTCCCCTGCTTATGCTCTTGTTCTCTCTCTCAAATAAATAATTTTTTTTAAAAGAGTAGTTGCAACAGAGACTTTATGGCTGGCAAAGCTGGCAATATCTACTGTCTAGCTTTTTATAGAAAACGTTTGCCAAGCCTTGCTCTAGAAGATACAGGATATTTCCATCTCCTTTGAGGCTTACAGCAACCTGGTAAGGTCAGTAGTGTCATTGTCCCCCTGTGATAGAGAAGGACTCAGAGGCATAGAGGAGAGGTATCCTATACGCCCATGGTCACACAGCTAATGAAGTCACACCTGCACTTGACCTGGGTACTTTGGTTAAGAGTATCCATCATTGCTCCCAGGGCTCTCAGGTTTAAAACCACAAAGGTATTATAATTATAATACCAAGGGTAAGAGCTCCAAGACCCTAAATAATAGCAATAACTGCCATTTACCAGGCACCTCTTGGGGACGGGTGCGGGGCTGGGCCCTGGTACCCAGCAGGGTGATTGCTCCTTGGGTATTTCCCATCCAGGGCAAAAGTCAGGCCATGCAGGATATTACAGCAAAGAGCAGACAGGTGACCAGCATGTTTCTGGGGACACAGCTTGGTTAAGGGTCATATGAGACCTTGCCAGGGAAGTGTTCATCCAATTAAGAACTGCAAGGCAAGAGTTAGCCAAACCCAGGGCTGAGGGGAGCTTTTCTGGCAGGAAGAATAGCATGTGAGGAGGCTCAGGGGCAAGACAGAGCTGGGGCCTTTGGGGAAAGGAGAACATGGTGGGGGAGGCTGGAAGATGCCGGGGGGCCAGACTGTGCTGGCCGTGTGGCCATGTGCAGGAGGCTGGGCTTTCTCCGGTGGGAGCGGGAACCCAGGGCAAAGTTCTGAGCAGGGAATGAGGAGGTCAGAGTGGGAAGAGATCAGAGGGGTACAGGAGTGGAAGCCCAGATCACAGTGACTTCATCGGATGGGTGGGGATGTGCTGGCCTAGGAAGCCGCCCTGGGGCTGGAGAAACCAGCTTCAGAGCTGCTCCTCATCAGTTCCACTGCATATCTTCCCTGCCCCCCCTGCCCATGTCCTCCATCTACCCAGCTTCCATGCACCCTGCCTTCCTCCTCAGGCCTCACCCAGAAACGACTGCCGCAGAATCTTCGTGCTGTCTTTCAGTTTCTAGAACTGCCAGGGACATTAAACTTCAGCTGCTTGTCCTAGACACCAAGAATCACACCGAGTTTATTAGAAAGTGGGAAACAGTAGACAGGGAGGAGAGAAAACCAATCAGCCAGCTTCTGAGTGTTCTGCTAGCCTGTTCACTTCTTAAGGAACTAAGCACAGACTGATCAGTAAACTCTCATTAATTTGCACCCTTGTTATTGTTTTATGATTCGGTGCAACCATCTGGAATTCCATTAGTCTTGAAATGGAGTCAAGAATCAGAGTTAGAATAGATTCAGAACAGATAAAGGCAACTCCTCATTCAAGGCCCTTATCTTGGGGTGTTTGGGGACTTTGTGAGGAAGGAGATCCCAGCCCTTGCTTGGAATCAGGACCATGGATCTCACCTCAGTTATCTTCGCTAAAGAGAGAAGCTGCCTCCCTTGTGGACGGGAAACTCTTACTAATCTCTCTTCCTTCTGGAAGAGCAGCTGACATGTTTTCTTTCTGCCCACGGAGATACCTACCACATGGACTGCATGATGCGGATCCGCCTGCAGTACGAGAAGACGTGGCAGGAGTGCCTGGCCCATGTGCAGAAGTGCAAGGTGGGCACCCCTCCTGGCCCGCCCCTGCCCCCCTCCAACCTGGATCCCCCACTTTCCTTCCTCACTCCTCCCAGACCCTTCCTCCCCAGCCCTTCCCACCTGTCACTCAAGGTGGAGCCCAGCCTGACCTTCTCCAGGAAGACTTCCCTGACCCCAAGATGAAGTGATACACTCTCTGATCACGTCAGGCTTCAGCCTTGACTGTCTGTACCCCTTACAGCACTTGACATTATTGATCCAGGGCAGATCGGATCAGGGGGATTATTTCCAGGGCTTCACTTTTGTAAGGTAGTGCGGCCACTGCTGTCACACCCAGCCCTTCTGTCCACCCTGCTGGCCCTTGTCAGACGGTGAGACCGTGGGTCCCTCACAAAGCACTTCAATGACAGTGCCTGCTTTTCTGGGGTACAAGGAGATATTTGATCAAAATGCCCTCTCCCTGCCTCCCGGCTCCAACAAGTTCCTGCTCCTCCTCCCCCTCATGAGTCTGTAGAGCTTTTGTTCTGCCACCGAGACTGTGAGGTGAGCAGAATTCACGGGGAGCAGAGTGCTTCACGGTGCCGTGCAGGGTCCAGTGCTGCGTCCCTGGGGGCTGCACCACCTGCTTGCACAGGCTCACCTTGAATCCATGAGGTCCTGCAGGGTGGGTGTCACCAGCCCCGTCTGACGATGAGAAGACCAAGTTTGCAAAAGGCCCAGGGGCTGCCCGTTTGCCCTGTGGCCTTCGGGCCAGCCACGTGCCTCTCAGTCAGCTTTTTCAGGGTGTAAAGCCTCAGAACTAAAGCCTGGAGGGAGAGGTGGGAGGAAAACCTTTGCCCGAGGAGAGCCTTTCCAGCACCATGCCCCTGACAGTTTCCTCCCCTCATCCAGGGGGGCAGCCTAAGACCTCCCGAGAGCCAGGGGCCCTCAGTGCTAACCCTCGTGCCCATTCTCACTTCCCTTTGCCAGGCACAGCAGTGGAATAAGTTGAAGTCAGCACATGCCCCAAGAGCATCTTAGGCCTGACAGAGGAAGGGCGCTTGGTATTCCTATTCAGCAGCATTGGAAGTACACAACTATAGACACTTTTTATTTGTGGGAGATACTAGAGTTTGTGCATAAACCAAGGCTTTATTAATATGAAGAGCCTGCTTTCCAGTTGGCATAATAGGAATTCAGTTATAGGAAGTAGGAGCCCCGTCTGACTTGCAGCCACACTGAGGCCATAGCATGGCTGATTATGTCTCTGGGGTCTGCAGGACGACAGTTCTGAGTTCGGATCCCAGCACCCCCACTTGCCAAATGTGTGGCCTCCAGCAAGTTCCTCCACTTCTCTGAGCCTTGGTTTCCTCATCTGTCAAATGGGGCTAATGAGAATGCCTTCAGGGGATTCATTGAGACAGCAGGGATAGTACACAGTGCCTGGACTCAGTGGGCGGACCAAAAAGATGGACCATCTCCACCGCTGTGAGGGTTTCCCCTGAGGCTGGGTGAGAGGCAGACCTCAGGGAGGCAGGGCCAGGCCCCGAGGTGAAGCGCTCTCCGGTCCTAAGCCAGGCTCTGCCCTGTTCCCCTCCAGAAGCAGCTGCTGGACTGGAAAGCCTTCACCGAGGAGGAGGCTGAGAGCCTGGTGAGCCCGTACTTCTTCCAGATGGTGGGAGTGCTGCAGAGCGAGGTGGAGGAGAAGCTGGAGCTCTGGGATGTGCGTAGCTGGGGACCCGCACAGCTGGGTGGGGGGCCACCTAGAGTGCCAGGCTATGAGAAGACTGGAGTCTGGGGGCCCCCAGCTTTCCTGTCACCAGTGAGTCCATTTCCCTGGTCCTGGCCGCCCCCCTGGGGTGGTTCTCCGCACTGAGTGCCCCGGGCTGCCCCGCAACCCCCCAGCTGCCCGCCAATGGCCATGCCTCCCTGGGGCTGGGGTAGCGGTGCTCCTCGGAGTCCTTGCTGAGCCTGTGCGTCCAAGGGCCACAAGGAGCAATCAGCCCCTGCCCCAAGACGCTTAGAATCTGGAGCTGGGTGGAGAAACATTTTCTGCTAGGCGCCAGAGAGTAAATGTTGCATTCCTCTGTGGGCCGTCAGGTCTGTAGCGACTTCGCGCTCTGCTCTTGTCACACAAAAGCCACGGTGGGCAACGCCGGAACAAATGGGTGTGGCTGCGCTTCAAGACAATTTTATTTGTGAACACTGAAATTTGTATTTCATATAATTCAGTACCTTCGTGGATTTTTTTTTTTTCAGCCGTTAAAACATGTAAAATCTCTGCTTAGCTCTCAGGCCACAAAAAAAGGTAGAGGGCCAAATTTAGTTCCTAGGCTAAGTTTGTTGACCCCTGGCCCCAATGAGAGCATAAAATACATCCATAAAATGGGGAGAGGTGAGGATTTAACAGCAGAGTGTGGTGTTTGGCTCAGATGCTAAGAATCAGGGAACTCCAAAGAAGGAGTTCTTTGGAGCTGGTGTCTGGTGGCTCCTGCTTTTTCTTTGAGGCTCCACACTTCTCCTTCCTCCCACGAGTGACTTCAATGGATATGGGACAGGTCTAGAGATGGGACTTCGGGGTCAGCCAGACTGAGGGCGTAGCTTTGGGCAGACCAGAAGCTGTCCCAGAGGAGGGAGGGCCATGAGCCAAAGTGTGACCCAGGAAGATGACCCCGAGGGATGGTGCCCAGGCAGCAACGGCCAGTCCTTGGAGAGGTGGGCCCTCTACTGGCTGGTGAGGGAGCCCTGTGAGGGGGGGGGCCTTCCCCTCACCCTGGGCCAGTTGGCCTTTAAAGCCCCTTCTCTGGGTTCTGCTGCTGCAGAAATCCTTTGAGGGCCTGGCAAAGCAGACAGAATGGCAGAGCTCGGATCTCTTCACCTACTTCCAAGAGGCCGTGCAGCTGTGGGAGACACATCAGAGCCTGCTGTCGGTGCAGGATCTGGGGCTGGAGAAGAGGCTGGAGCAACAGCGGCACAGGCACAGCCCGGAGGAGCAGGTGCGGCCCCAGGGCCCCAAGGAGCCCCTGCAGGGACGGGAGAGAGGGCCATGCCCAGACGGTCAGTTGCTCTGCAGGGTGGCCTATAACCTCAGCCGGCATGCAGATTTAAAAAAAAAAAAAATCCCACCATATTTATGGTATCATAAATAAAAATTAACGACAAACTTATCTTAGACTGAAATGTAAAACCTCCAGCTATAAAACTTACACAGATGGAGAAATCAAGGCTCACTTTGGTCATGGGGTGGATGGGAGTGGAAGAAATATGCCTGTCAGGTCTGGGCTAGTGATGGGTGCTTGGACCCAAATGTGTCTGTAAGAGAGTGTGCATGAGAGACAGACAGACTAGGTGGGGGGGAGGGGCGGTGCAGAGCATCTACTTATGGCAGTCAAGCCGTGCCCACAGGAAATGAGCTGGGCCCCCACCCCACCTGCCTTCACACAGTCTAGGGAGTGGAGGGGCACACCCAGCATGTGATTTTAAATACAATTGGTGTCAAGGAGAGCAAGGGACAGGCGCCTTGGGCAGGGTGTAGCTGGGGCCTGCCCAGGTGGGGTGGGTATAAGGGACATGTCCCTGAGGAGTCCCATCTGAGCTGGGTCTCCAGGGATGTAAAGTAGACAGAGAAGAACATTATCAACAGAGAGAAGAGCCCAGGGCATTGAGGGTAAGGGTGGTGGCACATTTGGTGCCCCTTTTTGTAGGAAAAAGTCCTGCGTTTGCTCTGAGGTACCTGCCCCTCCGTTCTGGTGGTGGGGTCTCTGCATGTCACTCACAGGCACTCTGCGAGTTTTGAGTTTGGTAACTCACATCGGCTTCCTCCTATTTTGGGTGTGGCTGCCAGGCCCAGGAGGCCCACCTTGATAAGCTCTTGGACCAGCTGAGGCAGCAAAGCCACGAGGAAACACTGAAGATTCACCTGGAAAAGGCCAAAGATTTCCTGAAGAATATGAAATACAGGTAGGCAGACCAGATCCCAAAAGACAGAAGGGAATGGCCTGAAATTCATATTCAAGATCAGAGGTTGCCTGCTTAGGAGCCCAGGGTGTGCTCAGCAAGCTCAAGATTAAAATGTCTCCTGTAGCTTTGGAGAATTCCTAGTGGTCCTTTGCAGCTCTGCTCTCAGCCAACACAGAAGCTTCCAGAAGAACTTTGATCTAAAAAGTTTATGGAGGGAGATTTCAAGGCCTTGTAGTTTATTTTATTTTTGGGGGAGGAGAGGAGGTACCTCTATTTTTTTTTAATTGACTTAAAAATTTTTTTTATTGTTATGTTAATCACCACATATTACATCATTAGTTTTTGATGTAGTGTTCCATGATTCATTGTTTGTGTATAACACCCGGTGCTCCATGCAGAACATGCCCTCTTTAATACCCATCACCAGGCTAACCCATCCCCCCATGCCCCTCCCCTCTAGAACCCTCAGTTTGTTTTTCAGAGTCCATCCTCTCTCATGGTTTTTCTCCCCCTCCGATTTCCCGCCCTTCATTCTTCCCCTCCTGCTATCTTTTTTTTTTTTCCTTAACATATATTGCATTATTTGTTTCAGAGGTACAGATCTGTGATTCAACAGTCTTGCACAATTCACAGCACTCACCATTGCACATACCTTCCCCAAGGGCCTTGTAGTTTAAATATCAAGAGCATGGGCCCTCCCACTACCTTTTCAGATTTTAAAACACAGGTGCTCTTTGTTAAAGAAAAAAAAGTTAACCAATCCAAACATGTAGAAATTTCCCCCTCATTCCTGTCCACCTCTTCCTTTTCATGGGCATGTACCTTTATTTATGTGGATATAAACACATATACAGTGTTTTTTAAATAAAGGTTGGATCATACAACGCAATGCAAGTAGATCTCTAACTGCAGATAGATGTCCGTTTTCTAATGACCATGCAGAATTCATCAATATGGGTGCTTCATAATGGTCTAACCATCTCCCAGTTGATGAGCTTTTTAAGATTGGTTCCAATTCCTCAATGTTAAAAACAGTACTCTGTGAACTGTCTTGTATCTTTGTGCCTTTGTACAACTAATTCCATAGGGACCATTCATAGAAATGAAATTGTGCTGCCAAATGATTGCAATACTTAGCTTCAGTACTTAGTTTCAGAAGTGTATCTTGAGGCAAATAAGTCACCCCCTACCCGCCCCCCCCCAGGCTTGTCTCCTTACCTGGGAAACAGATAAAGACCTGATCCCTGGGGCATTGGAGTGTTTGGTGGGATGATGTAGGTAAAGTTCAAGGACAGGGTTAAGACTGTGGACAGGAAATGGGAACCCATGTTCCAACAGAGAACTCTCCTGGTGTATGTTTTCCAAATATTCTACAAAGAGTGTGTATTCCTTGTAGGATCCGAAAAAGAGCAAAACAAACCAAGGATTGCCAGAGTGAAAGGAAACACAGACAGTGGCTCTGTGTGGAGAGAACTGTGGCCCCCAGCCCATCTCCCAGCGGCCTGGGGCAGGGCTCTTGGTCGGGGTCTCCCACACTCGGTGGAGTGGCCCCCCCTTAGACAGTGGTCTCGCCTACCCCCCTCCCAGGTATGAGTGTTTCCACAAGCTCCTGACAAAGGAGGTGATGGAGTACCCCGTGATCATACTGAAAGAACTGAACTCCTACAGCTCCACCCTCAGCCGACACTTCTACGTTCGTGAGATCTTTGAACAGGTATGGAAAGCAGTGCAAACACCCAGCCACTCCCCGGGAAGCAAAGGGGAAAAGATATCTTCTAGCTCTGATCTGCCTTCACTTCATAAGCCTTCACGAACCCCTGCTGAGTTAGACTCTGTCAGAACAGCAAGGGGTAAGAAGCTGAAGGCGTTTCTAAAAGAGACCATCTCCTTCTTAGATTAAAAGAGGTTGAAGGGCTCCGAATTCAGTCCTCAGGCTTGTATGGAATTAGGATGAAAAGACTCTTTTCTAGGACTCTGAGTTCCATTCATCCTCCCCACCACTGCCACATAACCCTCCTAAAATACCGCTCAGACCTGCCCTCTCTCCGGCTCAGAAATAGCCGCCCCTCCCCCCCCCCCCACTGCCCCGCCAACTCTGCTGGCCCTGCCAAATCCAACTCACAGTCCTAGATGACCACAGAGGCCCCCACGTCTGGTTCCCACCTTGCCCCTGGCCTTCCTCAGCCTGCTCCTCTGCCGGCAGCCTTCTGTCTCCACACCTCCCAGAGCCTGCCACCCTTCCACTACCAGGGACAAGTGTCCCAGCCACTCACGTTCCTCACCGCCTGTCCACTCTCCTCTCTCTGGGTGTGCTTGTATGTTGGTTTACCGGCAAAGACAGGAGTACAGAACATCCAGAGTAGGTGTTTCCTGAAGGACAGGTATGTCTCACTAATTTTGATTCAGCTTCACTTAAGCTTCACACAGTGTCTTGCACGTGGTTCAGACACAGTGAATGCTCCCTGGGTAAATGCACGACTACCTGGAATGTCCTGGTCTGACCCTCCTAGAGTTTGTCTCTTTCCCACACAGCCAGCCAGGCTGGCTGGCTCCGTGGCCAGACCTGACACTGCTTGCAGTTATCACTGAACCTCGCTGAGGCTTTCTCATGTATATGGGGGTCCCCAGCTCCTCAGAGAATCCCCCCAGAGAGGAGGGATCTCTGTTTCATTTTTAGTAATTTTTCCTCTGGCACCTAAGTTGAGGTGGTGCTCAAACTATAGGAGGGGGAGCTCACCATCTGCACTTTGAGATCAGTCTGGTTACCTGGGTTCAAGTTGAGGTGCTATTATGATCTCCATGGCACAAGGGAGGACATTGAGCCCCATAGGGCTTAAGGAGCTTGGCCAAGGTCGCACAGCTTGAAAGGAGCTGGGATTCAAATCCAGACCTGCAAACTCTACAGCCCACACTGTTATCCATGGCACAGTATATTCATGACTACATCTAGAGTCTGTGAAACAGGGAATTTATAGGGTTAATGAAGGGGCTCCCAGGCACTATGTTCACATTCAGCACTGGAGCAGCAGATTTCTGCCCCTTTGTCTGCATCCTTCAATTTATACTTTCTTGCTCTTTGCCCTGGATCACTACAAAAATGTGAGGATGAGAGTTTATTTACTCATGCCTATTATGTGATAGAAAGATTTGCTAGCCTGCTTGGGATTAAGGAAAACTGATTCCCTGGTTTGGGAACACTCTGATTACCCCAGGAAAATAAGTAGTCAAGGCCCATATCAGATGTTGAAGGGGAGGGGTGGGTGCTTCTACTTAAATGTGAAGAGATGCCCTTAGACGTGGTACTCTGGAGACAGGCGGTGCAGCTCACTCAGTGCCCTGTGGTTTTTCTTTGTAGACCTTGGATGGGGAAGTCATTTTCAAATTCAGGGAACCAGGTAACTATTATAATTCAAGTCTAATCCTCTCTGACTTCACTCTTGTATATTTGTGGGCTGGGTGGGCCCAATCCAGGCTACCTTGGTAACCTGTTTTTCCTTGTGCCTTGGGGTTGGTCATCAACAGAAGCACACGAAAAGCACTTCCAGGAGAGTATGAGGAAATGGAGAAGCAAGCAGAGGGCTAAAATGGAAATGAGCACAAGTGAGGAAGGTGAAAGTAGCGGGACCAGTCCCTCCAGGCCAGCAGAAGAGGCAGAAGAAGATGACCACGAATTTGAGTCTTCCTTAACTGAGGAGATGGCAGTGAGCCAGCAGGAGCAGTCTGTACTGAGTGACGAGATGGATGAGTCCGGTGAGGAATCTGTTCAGGAATCAGAGAAAATGCAGGTCGAGAGAGACAGCTCCTTAAAATCATCCCTGAACCGGGAAAATGTGATGGTTCAAGAAGAGGAGATGGAGGAGGAGAAAAAGGAGGAGGAGGAGGAGGAAGAGAAGGCAAAGGTGGAGGAGAGTGAGGAGAAGGAGAAGAGGAAGAAGAAGAAGAAGAAGAAGGAAGAGGAGGAGGAGGAGGAGGAGGAGGAAGCGGAGGAGGAGGCAAAGGAGGAGGAGGAGGAGGAAGAGGAGGAGCACGAAGAGGAAGAGAAGCAAGGGGAGGAGGAGGAACATGAGAGTTTATTTATGGATGAGGTAGGCCAGCAATGGATCCATTCTTGGGTATGGGGAGAGCGTGCTAGGCTCACTCTGCGTATCCCTAATACAAGCTGGGGTCCCCAGTGGTGCAGTATCCATTGGGATTTACAAATGTATGCACATCTTTTATTTTGTCAACAGGAATCCAATTCTTATCTCACAACAATGCTTTTTAAAATTCACTTTTTTATCCTAACATCTTATACTGCAACTTACTCTGAAGTCACCCCTTAACTGTATGGCTTCCCTTGTCCTTCCCTGGTCATCTCTTTCCCAGCTCTTCTTTCCTGTATAGACCAACCTAGTCTCTCCATTCCCTCTCTCTTCCCATGCTCTTGTGTAGCAGAAAAGACCCATATCCAAGTTGGCAGACAGAGCTCTCCTTGGAGTGCAGGGAATTTACTCTCATATTAATAAATTTGTCCTCAAAACACATTCCAACTCATAGACCAGTAACTTGAATTCCGTAATCATGAAATTGCAAGACTCTCTTCCTACATTGCTCTAGAAGAATTGGCTCAGGAGACTTGTCTTTGAGCAGGGATCCCAAATTCAAATGCCCACAGTGATGTAATAGAAAAGAGGTCTGGAGACCAAGTGTAAAATAGTGACAGGTGGTGAAGATGATTGTCTTAGTCTGTTGGGGCTGCTATAACAGAATACCATAGACTGGGCAGCTTATAAACAATAGAAATTTATTTCTCACTGTTCTGGAGGCTGGGAAGCCCAAGATCAGGGTGCCGGCAGATTTGGTGTGTGGTGAGGTCCCACTTCCTGGTTCATAGACAGCCATATTCTCACTGTGTCTTCATATGGTGGAAAGAGCCAACTCTTTTATAAGGGCACTAACGCCATTCATGAGGCCTCTTCCCTCCTGACCTAATCACCTCCTAAAAGCCCACCTCCAAATAGCAACACACTGGGGATATGAATTTCGGAGAGCACCTACCATTTAGTCTAAGGCACCTGTGCAGTCATTACTCAGCTCCAGCCAATAATGCCATGTGGGAATGGAGACTCAGAATTGCCAGATTTTCTGATTTTTAAGAGAAATCCAAAATCCAAATTCTTTGTAGAATTTCCCGATTTTGAAAGCGCTATGTTGGGCAAAAAATAATTACAGGCAAGATTCAGCCCACAGGTTTACAACCTTGATATCAAGGATCCTGTGGTTGGATCCCCAGGTCTGTCTGATGATGTCAAGTCTAAAGTCTCTTCTTCTGCATAGGCTGAAGCCCAGGAAGAGAGTCTCGGGGAGATCTCCGACGAGGACATGGAGTCCTTCACAACCTCCAGTGGACACACTTATTTTGTCTTCCTAACCCTGGAACAACAAGAAAAGAGTTGCAAGAAGCCCCATTCCAACCTTTCTACCATTCTCATCAATGACATTTCCAGTGCCAACTTCCTAGAACAAGTGATCATTCCATCCAGACTAGTTTTACAAATTAAGAAACAGTGAGTAGAAACCCCTTTTATTCTCATTCTCCTGTCCTGAGTTTATTAACAAGGTGAGGTATTATAACAAAAGATTGGACTAGTTTCGGCTGGAAAAAGAAAATGTGTAGGCAACTGAGGGTTGAGATGAGAAACAATAAACAAAAATAGTAAATTTCCAGGAATTATTTGTAGTCACAGATATCTTCTGTGAGAGTAACCCCCTCCGCCTGTCCCAGGATGCCTTGCTGGCCTGGACCTTGTACATAAGAAATAGTGTTTTCCCTGCAAGATTTTAGAACCCCTGGCACATGTGGAATCTTGCAGTTTCCCTTTCTTCTTTCCTTCCTTCCTTTTTTTTTTTTTAAATTATGTAGCTATAGACCCTAGGTATGAGTTTATATCAGCATAGTGTTTGGCTCTGGTTATATGACACATTAATTGCCAAAAATTGGAAAATGGAAAAAAGTACAACGAAGAATATAAAAATGACCCATAATTCTACCACTGAGAATTTATCTCCCCTAACTCCCAAGTTTCTGGGCCTCTGTGTTTGAATTTGGACCCAGTGTGGAAATTTGCAATTGGCTTTAGGATAGCATTTCCACTGCACTCCTGACATTACAATGTCATAGCCAGGACTAACCAGCTAGAGATCACCTGATTAGTCTACCTCCTATGTGTAGACATGCACAGGGAGTAGAAGGAGTTAAGTCAGGCTTTTGGACTCTTCTCTTTGACCTCAGCATCATCTTACCTTGAAAATGTCTCTTGACTTGAAACTCATCCTTTCTCCTTCCCCTGTCACAGGCCATTGTCTGTCTTCTCCTTAAAGAAGAAAAGCAAGGACCGCCACAAGAGCTAATATTTATTGAGATTTAATGCTCTCAATAACTATGAAAGAGGTACTATAATTAGCCTATGTTACAAAGAAACTGAAGCTCAGGGAGTTACTAATTTGGATAAGGTCTCTGAGCTAGGAAGTAGTTGGATCTAGGATATGAATCTAGACCATGTGATTCCAGAGTCTTGAACCAAACACTATGCCATCTGGCCTTGGAATTAACCAGAATAAGTTCTGTGTTAAACTAATTGGATTTGCATGTTGAAGGATACAATACTGAAAAGTACAGAAATCATGAATGAATGAATCATCCAAAGGGAACACATCTGGTAACCAGTACCCCTCCCCCAAATAGAACAAGACCAACTCTCCAGGAGCCCCTTCGTGTATTCATCTCCAGGCACCGCCCTCTCTTCCTTAAGGATAGCAAATATTCTAACTTCTTTTGCTTGTTTTTGAACTTTATTTAAATGGAATCATAGAAAATGTACTCTTTTATGTTGGAATTCTTTCATTATGTTTGTGAGATTCATATGTATTTTTGAATGTGGTTTCAGCTCATTTTTATTTCTGTATGGTATTCCATTATAAAAATACATAACCCATTTTCTTTATCCATTCTACTACTGAGGCACATTTGGGTTGTTTTTTATTCGGGAATGGAACAATGCCACCCTGAACATTCTTCTTCTTCTTTTTTTTTAAGTTCAATCGGCCAACGTATAATACGTCATTAGTTTCTGATGTAGTGTTCAGTGATTCATAAGTTGTGTGTTACACCCAGTGCTCATCACATCATGTGCCCTCCTTAATACCCATCACTTGGTTACCCCATTCCCCCAACCCCCTTCCCTTCTGCAACCCTCAGTTGTTAACTGGAGTCCAGAGTCTCCCGTGGTTTGTTTCCCTCACTGATTTCTTCCCATTCAGTTTTCCCTCCCTTCCCCTATAGTCCTCTGTGCTATTTCTTATGTTCCACATGTGAGTGAAACCATATGATAATTGTCTTTCTCTGCTTGACTTATTTCACTTAGCATAATACGCTCCAGTTCCATCCATGTCGATGCAAATGATAGGTATCCATCCTTTCTGTTGACTGAGTAATATTCCATTGTATATATGAACCACATCTTCTTTATCCATTCATCAGATGAAGCACATGTTGGCTCCTTCCAGTTTGGCTATTGTGAATATTGCTGCTATGAACATTGGGATGCATGTGCCCCTTCTTTTCACTACATCTGTATCTTTGGGGTAAATACCCAGTAGTGCAATTGCTGGGTCATAGGGTAGCTCTATTTTTAATGTCTTGAGGAACCTCTATACTGTTTTCCAGAGTGGCTGTACCAGTTTGCATGCCCACCAACAGTGCAAGAGGGTTCCCTTTTCTCCACATCCTCGCCAACATTTGTTGTTCCCTGTCTTGTTAATTTTAGCCATTCTTACTGGTGTAAGGTGGTATTTCATTGTGGTTTTGATTTGTATTTCCCTGGTGGCTAGTAATGTGGAGTATTTTTTCATGCGTCTGTTAGCCATTTTTATGTTGTCTTTGGAGAAGTTGTCTGTTCATATCTTCTGCCCATTTCTTGACTGGTTTATTTGTTTTTTGGGTGTTGAATTTGATGAGTTCTTTATAGATCTTGGATACCAGCCTTTTATCTGATATGTCATTTGCAAATATCTTCTCCCATTCCATGGGTTAAATATTCTTGTACAAGTCTTTTGGTGAACATATGTCTCCATTTCTGTTAGATACATAACTGAGAGTGGAATTATTGGGACTTAGGGTTATATGTATCTCCCTCTTGAGAAGATACAACCAAAAGATACTACCAAAGAGTTTTCAAAAGTGATTTTGTTTTAACAGTTTCCAACAGTGTGTGAGAGTTCCATTTGTTCCACATCTTCATCAGTACTTGGTATTGCCAACAGTTTTTGTTTTAGCCATTCCAGTGTACATGTAGTGGTGTTTCATTGTGATTTTAATTTGCATTTTCCTGAAGAGTAATGATGTGTACCTTTTCATATTCTTGTTGACCATTTGGTTATCTTTTCTGAAATGCCTAGTCAAATCTTTTGCTTATTTTTTCCTGGCGGATTGTCAATCTTTTTTCTTATTAATTTATGTGAGTAAGTTACCTATCCTAGATATGAGGTTGTTGTTAGGTAAATACGTGGCAAATGTTTATCCCTCTCTGTGCTTGCCTTTTTTTTTTTTTAACTCACCTAAAGGCATCTTCTGATGAAAAGAAATTCTTATTTGTAATAAGGTCCTATTCATCAACATTTTTTCATTAGGGTTAGAGTGCTTTCTGTCTTATCTAAGAAATCTTTGCTTGCCCTAAGGTCATGAAAGTATCCTCCTATGGTATTTGCTACAAATGTTATTGTTTTAAATTTCCACATATAGATGTAAAATCCACCTGGAATTAATTTTGTTTATGTGTGAGATAGGAGTCAGATTCATTTCTTTCTAAATGGATAACCACTTGACCCCAGAAGACTCTCCTCTCCCCACTGCTCTGCCGCACTTCCTTTCTGTTTCTCTGTGTCTCTATCCTTGCATTACTACCTCACCCTGCCTGATTACTGTAGCTTTATAGTAAATCTTAATAACTGGTAGTGTAACTTCTCCAACTTCAGCCTTCTCCTTAACTATCCTTGGCCATTTGCATTTCTGCATAAACTTGAGATCAGCTTATCAGTTTCTGGAAGAAGACATCTGCTGAGCTTTTTATTTTTATTTATTTTTTAAAAAATGATTTACTCATTTATTTTAGACAGTGTGTGTGCATGCAAGGTGGGGAGGGGCAGAGGGAGAGAATTTTCAAGTAGACTCCCCACTGAGCTTGGAGCCCGACGTGGGGTTTGATCTCATGACCCATGAGGTCATGATCTGAGCCAAAACCAAGAGTCAGATTCTACCAACTGAGCCACCCAGGTGTCCTGATTGCATTGAATCTATAGATAAATTTTATTGAATTGAATCTATCAATAAATTTGGGGGAAAACCAACACTTTCACAATACATAGCCATCTTAACAATACATAAATTTTGATAAGGAAGAAGTGATGAGTTGGGAAAACTATTTGCAGCTCACATCACAATCAAGTGACCTTATGTTCCCAATATATAAGGAGTGCCCATATAAAGAAATTGATAAGAAAAACAGCATCTACACAATGGAGAAATGGGCAAAAGATATTAATGGATTGTATGTAGAAAAAGAAATTAAATAGTCTTAAACACATGCCAGTATGCTCAGTTTCAGTCAAACCATGATGAAATTGATAAATTCAAAAGCTTGGCAATCTGCTCTGAGGCTGTGGAGAAATGGGAACTGTTATTGCAGATGGCAGTTCCGGTTGCCTTGCCATGAAAGCAGATAAGTCATATCTTCAAGATCCACACATGTGTTCTAGCCTTTGATTCAACAATTCCAGTTCAGGAAATGTATCCTATAGAAATTTTACACTTGACGTTGCAGGCTTTTTTGAAGAACAAATGGTTGGAAACCATCCAGTGTCCTCCTGCAGGAGTCTGGTTAAATTCATGGTGGTCCATCCAGACAAAGGAATATAATATAGTTGGGAAATAAAATAAGGAAGAAGTGAAGGGGGGAAGAACTTTCTGTATCAATATGGAAAGCTCTCTCCCTGGTCACTGCCGCTGGCAGAGCTGACCCTCACTGGTCTCTCCCTCAGACTTCGAGCTGGCTTTTTTGACCACCTAGAGAAGTGGTTTGACCAATGTGTCCTCAAAACCCGGGTCATGGTGACCACCAAGATTGATGAGCTGGATTCAGAATTGGAGCTGCGTCAGCATCTGCATGAGCCAAGAGCCAAGCGCATTGAAAAGGACATCCATAATGTCAGGGCAGGTACAGACCCCGCTTGAGAAGGCTGCCCTGCCCCACACAGCTGGAGTCTGTGCCACCGAGGTTCTACATTCATTAGGTGCCCCTGTGTGAGGGTTCCACCCCTCAGGCTGGCAGACAAGTCAGTACTCAGAACCCACATTTGAAATTAAAAAAAAATTTTTTTTAAACAGGACTTTAGATACTAGAATGAAGAGTATTGTCCTGTTTTAGCTGTGTGAATGCCAGATCTGCTCACACACCTATCAGATACATACCTGCATAGCAGGTGTTCTAGAGGCAAGCTTGTAGTTCAGGAATCAGAGCTATTAGGATCAGCCTCTCTGGCTGTGTGACTCTGGACATGTTACCTGACCTCTCTGATCCCTCCCTTACTTGCAGAAGGGGATATTGTTGGTGGTAATTAACTCTCCCTGAAAGGGTACAGTGAGGAATCATGAGCAAGTGGTACCCATTAATTTAAGCTTACAATTTACAACTTAAAAAGAGGTGCCATTTCTCTCTTAGGCAGAGGGCTCCATTAGAAGGTGGCGTACTTTTACTTGGATCCTCGATGACCCTGTTGGGTTTTCAGTTGGGTCACACTTCAAACATTTTTATAGACCCTTTGAGCTCCCCAAGTGACCCCACATGGTCCCAACCAAACTCCCCCTGCCTGGAACAGTGACAGAATTATGGAATCAGACAGCCTGGCCTGGAGTCCCTATGCTTGCGGCCTGGGGAGCCCTGCTTGGGTTTGGAACCTCATTGTGTTCATCTGGAAAATGTGTGCATTAAATGTAAATATAAATTGAGATGCTCTATGAAGGCTGATTTCCTGCCCCTTCCCTGGCTCCCTGCCCCAGTGCACGATGGGGAGATTGAGGTCAGAGAAACAAGGTCCCAGAGTCCCTGCACTCATTTTGGCAGAGCTGGGATGACTGCACTTTCACCTACAGGCAGTAGGAAGATGGGGCTATCTGCGAGCTCTAAAGGCCTCTGATGGAGCCCTTGAAGCCAAATCCTCATTCCGTTTACTCCACCCTAGAAGTCCCCCCCCCCCACAGCCTGGGCAGCCTCCTCTCCATAGAGACCCTGGGGCAGTCTCTCAGATTGGCCTCTCTCAGATCTGCACCCATTCCCAAGCCAGGCCCTGGTGAGGGTGGCTGTCACATCCAGGAGAGGATCCCAGAGGGTCTCAGCTCCCCCTCGTCCTTTTTCAGCTGAGCTCTTGCTTCATCAAGAGCGGCTGGACAGCCACTGTGCTGGGGTGACCGAGACGCTAAGGAAGCAGAGGCTGATGTTCTGCCAGTTCCAAGAAGAGCAAAACATAAAGAGCAAAAACTTCCGCCGCAAGATTTACGACATGGAGCACATCTTCTTGAATGCCACAAAGAGCCAGAGGTGAGGTGCCTGGAATCCCAGACAAGAGATGCCAGCCTTTGGCTGCTCTATCCTGGTGGATACGAGTCAGTTTTCCAGGCCCCACAGCAACCTTCTCTTTTCAGCTCACCTCTTCACACAAGTCAGAGTCTAACTGTGTGAACTGTCTGGTGGGGGGCTGGGGGCTGGGGGCCGGGTGAGCAGCCAGGGAGAGAAAAAAGGTCACACATGGACAGGATGCAGGGATGCTACTAACCTGCCCTGAAATGTCCATGCGGGGTAAGCCCACTTCCATCAAGGGGAATCAGGAAGAGCTTCCTGCAGGAACCCCCCCGCCCCCCGGCCTGGGCTGGAGGAAGATAAAGAAGAGACAGAATTTTCCCCTTAGGAAGGAGCACTGGCCCAGCTTGAGGTGAGGATGTGCTCACGTCAGAGTGAGCGCTTCCAAGGCGGCCATTCAGGGATTTGAGATGGAGGCTCTTACGTGCTCAGGGAGTCCTCATTCAGGTAACAGGTGAGGAGCCCTCACAGGCGTCTGGTACACAAGAGGCTGCTGGTTAGGGTGGACTGAAAGGTAAAGAGGAAACTTGCAGGGTGCTCCTTCAGGGGAGCACTAGCCCCAGGAGCCACATTGCTGGGAGTTAGAGAAAGACAGATCACTGCAGGGAGGCTGAAGATCCAGTGGGACCTGGGGATTCCTTTAGTAATTTGATGGCGAGGGCTAGAGAGAGGAGAGGGATGTCCTCTGCTACAGCACATGGAGAGTTCCACACTGTCCTGAACACACTGGCATTTTGAGTTTCCTTTTAGCCTCTTTTTCTACCCAGAGGAACATGGCTGTGGTTCTGTGACCCCACAGCTGGGCACAGCAGTGGAGCTCAAGCAGCCCCCAGGCTGCCCTTCCATACCCGGGTCACCACCCTGCCCTCCTGTGTCCCACAGGCTGGTTAGTCTCAGCAGCACGCTGCACCGGGAGCTGCTTAGCTATGTTGATGTCATCCAGGTGTCCCTGCGCAGCTTCCGCCAGTACTTGGAGGAGAGCCTGGGCAAGCTTCGCTTAACCAACATTGAGTTCATCAAGCACTGCAGGTGGGAGCCCACATCCAGGGCCTCTGTGGGCACTGGGCTTTCTCTCTCGAGAAGTGGTCTTGTTTTCCTTACTTTTTTATTGTGACAAAATATATGACATAAAACTCTGCATTTTAACCATTTTTCAGGTGGACAGTTAGTTCAGTAGCATTAAGTACATTCACATTGTTGTGCAACCATCACCACTATCCATCTCCAAAATTTTTCATCTTCATAAACTGAAACTCTGAATGCATTAAATACTAACTCCCACTCTCCTCCCCCCGCCCCTGACAGTTGTAATTCCATTTTTTGTCTCTGTGAATTTGACTACCATAGGTGCTTTATATAAGTGAAATAATACAGTGTTTGTCCTTTTGTGTGTCTGGCTTATTTCACTTAACATAGTATCTTCAAGAGTCATCATTTGGCATATGTCAGAATGTCATTCCTCCTTAAGGCTGGGTACTACTCCATTGTGTGTAAACACCACATATTGTTTCTCTGTTCCCCCCTTGAAGGACATTTGGGTTATTTCACTGCTTCCATCTTTGAATCACCTGTATTCATTTTTCTGTGATCTTATAGTTTCTAAAGCTTTGTCAACCACAGGTTTTGGAATGGGTGGGAAGTTTCAGGTCTGATCAGTGGTTTGTATTTCTCTCAAACTATTTTCAGATTGTTTTCTGAGGGAGGCAACTTTTCTTCTGAAGAAATTGACTTACTGTGTCATCGACTGGAGAAGGAAGCTTCCCGAATAGAGTTTGTTGAAAGTTTAATCATGATCAACATGGAGAAGATGGAGAGTGAATACCTGGACCAGGTCAGGGAGTCCTGCCCCTGGCCTCCAGCCAGGCTCCCAGGTCACCCTTGCTCATTGCCTGATGGGTCTGCCAAGCCCCCTTTTCCAAAAAATTGAGCCTGTCCCCCTCTGCTTCCAAAGTCTGTAAGTTCCAAATTAAACCCCCCTCCTTTACTTTTTATATATCTTTACAGGCCAATGATGTCATCAGCAAGTTTGAAAGCAAATTCCATAACCTGTCTGTGGACCTTATTTTCATAGAGAAAATCCAGCGGTTGCTGACAAATCTGCAAGTGAACATCAAGTGTGAGGTGGGACAGATTCATTCCTCACCTGCATGCTAGACACTGTCCCAAGTGCTGGGGATACGACTGTGGGCTCTGCCCCATGGGACTTGAACTCCAGCCAGGGAGACAGATATTAACATAATAGCCTCTAGGATTCATTGTGTTATTATGCACCATATATCCTGCTAACTGACTTATTTTGATCAGCTGTGTTAGTCCTCCCAAGAACTGTATGAAGCAAGTATTGTTTTTTCCCCTGTTTTAGAGAAAAGAAACTGAGGCAGAGAGTAATTAAGTGACTTAGACAAGAGCACAGAACTCTTGAATGTGAAACCAAAATGTGAACTGAAGTCAACGATCTTAAATAAATAACCTAACTGTATACCTCAAGGAACTAGGAAAAAAAATTACCCAAAGTTAGCAGAATGAAGGAAATCACAAAAATCAGATCAGAAATAAATGAAATAGAGATCAGAAAAACAATAGAAAGGATCAGTAAAACTAGAGATGGTTTTCAACGATAAACAAAATCAACTAACCTTTAGCTAGACTAAGAAAAAAGAGACAAGACTCGAATAAAATCAGAAATGAAAGAGAAGACAGTGCAACCGATACTGCGGAAATACAAGAATCTTAGGACTACTATGACTAATTATATGCCAATGAATTGGATAACCTAGAAGAAATGGAAGAAGTTCTAGAAACAAAGCTACCAAGACTGAATCATGAACAAATGGGAAATCTGAAGAGACCAATAATGAATAAGGAGATTGAACCAGTAATCAAAAACCTCCCAAAAAAGAAAACTCAGGACCTTATGATTTCATGGGTGAATTCTACCAAACATTTAAAGAAAATTTAGCACCAATTCTTCTCAAACTCTTCCAAAAAAATAGTATAGGAGGGAATACTCCAAAATTCATTTTACAAAGTCAGCATCACCCTGATACCAAAGACGGATAAGAACACTATAAGAAAACTACAGACCAATATCCCTGATGGATATAGATGCAAAAATCCTCAACAAAATATTAGCACACCAAATTCAACAGCACGTTATATACTATGATCAAGTGTCATTTATCTCTGGGATGCAAGGATGGTTCTATATATACAAATCAATCAATGCGACACCATATTAATAGAATAAAAGATAAAAATCATTTAATCATCACAAGTGATGCAAAAAAAGCATTTGACGATGTACAACATCTTTTCTTGATAAATTTGTTAAATAAAGTACATAAAGGAGGAACATACATAAGTATAATAAAGGCCATATGTGACAAGCCCACAGCTAATATCATACTCAACAATGAATGTTTGGAAGTGTTTTATCTAAGATCAGGAAGAAGAGAAGGGTGCCCCCTCTCACCACACCTATTCAACATAGTACTGGAAATCCTAGCCCGAATGATCAGGCAAGAAAAAGAAATAAAAGGCATTCAAAAGAAAAGGAATAAGTAAGATCATCTTTGTTTACAGAACATATGATCTTATATATAGAAAATCCATCAAAAAAACTGGTAGAACTGATCAACAAATTCAGCAAAGTTGTAGGATACAAAATCAACATCAAGAAATTAGTTGTATTTGCATATACTAACAGCAAAACATCTAAAAAAGAAATAAAACAATCTCATTCACATTAGCATCAAAAACAATAAAACACTTAGGAATAAATTTAACAAAGGGGATGAAAGTTCTATACACTGAAAACTATGAGAATCTGTTGAAAGAAATTGAAGAAGACACAAACAAAAGGAAAGATATCCCATGTTCATGGATCAGAAGAATTAATATTGTTAAAATGTCCATACTACCCAAGTCTATCTATAGATTCAGTGCAATCCCTATCAAAATCCCATTGGAATTTTTCACAGGAATAGGAAAATCCATCCTAAAACTTCTATGGAACTGCAATAGATTATGAATAGCCAAAGCAATCCTGAAAACGAAGAGCAAAGCATCACAATTCCTTATTTCAAACAATACTACAAAGCTATAATAACCAAAATGTATGGTACAGGTATAAAAATAGACATCTAGACCAATGAAACAAAATCAAAAGTTCAGAAATAAACTCTCACATATACAGTCAACTAATATTTGACAAGGAAGTTAAGAGTACTCAATGGGGGAAAGGATAGTCTCTTGAATAAATGGTGTTGGGAAAACTGCATCACCACATGCAGAAGAATGAAATTGAACCCCTATCTTACACCACACACAAAAATTAACTCAAGATGGATTAAAGTCCTAAACGTAAGGCCCAAAACCTTAAAACTCTGGGAAGAAAACATGGGGAAAAACTCCTTGATATTAATTAGTCTTGGCAATGATTTTGTGGATGTGACACCAAAAGCACAAGCAACAAAAGCAAAAATTAACTAGTGGGGCTGCATCACACTGAATAGCTTCTGCACAGCAAAAGAAAGAACAAAAATAAGGGCACCTGGGTGGCTCTGTCATCCAGCATTTGCCTTCGGCTCAGGTCATGATCTCAGGGTCCTCAGATCAAGCCCCGCATTGGGCTCCCTGCTTGGCGGGAAGCCTGCTTCTCCCTCTCCCACTCCCCCTGCTTGTGTTCCCTCTCTCGCCATGTCTCTCTCTGTCAAATAAATAAATAAAATCTTTAAAAAAAAGAAAGAACAAAATGAAAAGATAACCTATGGAATAGGAGAAAATATTTGCAAATAATATATCTGATAAGAGGTTAATATCCAAAATATATAAAGAACTCATATAACTCAATAGCAAAAGAAGCAAACAATATGATTTAAAAATGGGCAGAGGAACTGAATAGACATTTTCCAAAAAAAGACATACGAATGGCCAACAGGTAAGTGAAAAGGTGCTCAAAATCACTCATCATCAGGGAAAGACAAATCCCAATGACAATGAGGTATCAACTCACACTTGTTAGAATGGCTATCATCAAAAAGACAAGAGATAATAACTGATGGCAAGGATGTGGAGAAAAAAGAACTCTTGTGCACTGTTTGGGGGAATGCAAACTGGTGCAGCCACTGTGGAAAATGGTATGGAGCTTCCTCAAAAAACTAAAGATGGAACCACCATATGATCCATCAATCCCATTTTGTGGGGTATATATCCAAAGGAAAGGAAAATATGGTCTTGAAGAGATATCTGCACTTCCATGTTCATTGCAGCATTATTCACAATAGCTGAGGTGTGGAAACAGGCAGAGTGTCTCTAAACCAACAAATGGATAAAGAAGACGTGTATATATATATATATATATATATATATATGTATATATATATATATACACAATGGAACATTATTTGACCATGAAAAGGAAGGAAATCCTACCATTTGTGACAACATGTATGGACCCTGAGGGCATTATGCATAGTGAAATAAGTCAGAGAGAGAAAGACAAATACCGTATGATCTCACTTTTTTGTGGAATCTAAAAAAGCCAAACTCATAGAAACAGAGAGTAGAATGGTGACAGGGTTATGGGAAATGCGGACTGAGGGGTATGGGAAATGCGGAGCTGAGGGTCAGTGGGTAAAAACTCAGTTATAAGACAAATATGTTCTGGGGATCTAATGTGCAGCATGGCATTATAGTTAATAATACTACGTTATATACTTGAAATCTGCAAAGAGAGTAGATCTTAAATGTTTTCATCACAAAAAAGAAATGGTAATTATTTGATGTGGTGGAGGTATCAGTTAACGTTATGATGATAACTATTTTGCAATATATAAGTGTATCAAATCAACACATTTGTATACCTTAAACTTACATAATGTTATATGTCAATAATATCTCAATAAAGCCAGGAATGATTTTGACTTATTTTTAAGCTTTTTTCCACATATGGAAAGAGTTCATATATAGTATATATGTGTGCATATATAATATATAATACATATATGTATATATGCACAAAGAACAAAACTGGCTTCTTGCTATTTATACAATTTTTTGAGTTATAAAATCTTTAAAGATTCTTTCAAAAACACTACTATGATTGCTTCTCTCTCCTGAATGTGTTGCTATTTTTACTTAGCCATTCCTTTTTGGAGGAAAATTTGGTGGATTTCACTTATTATTATACCAAACACCCTTGCACAGGAAACTCTGATTATGTCCATAGGGTATCTCCCAGAGCTGAAATTACTAGGGCAGAGCATGAATGTTTTAGGGCTTCTCATGTTTTCCAGGTGGCTTATGCAGACAACACTCACCAGTGGGACAGTGCCCTCAACCACTACTGTGGGTTGTTGATTTTGTTTTTAAACCTTATCTGTTTGAGAGTAAAAAACAAAACAAAACAAAAAATGCTTTTACATTTGCATTGATCTAGTTTCTGATAACATTGTGCATTCCCCCCCATTTCATTTTTTCAATATTGACTTCATCTGTCAGATAATATATTTTGCTGAACATTTTCCTGATCAAAATAGAAACTAGAAACAAATCATGGAACCTCTGGTTTTTCTAGGTCGCAAAATCCAATTTGCAAACAGATGGATTAAATTCTTCTCTGGAACAGCTCCAAAGGAAAGTAGAAATGTGTCGAAACTCAAAGGGAGATAAAAAAGTAAGTATTTGGTATTTACTAAGCTATGAATAGTAAAGGTGCATTACACAAGAATTATAAACTGGAAGTAAACTTACATCTTTCATCAAGATTTCTCCAGCTCCAGAGAGGCCTCTGAGCCTTCCCACTTAACCCCTGCTTTATTCAGTGAAATTAAGGAAGAAAAGAAAACACAGCCACCTCCTCCAGCCCCCAGCCCCTCCTAGGCAGGCTTGTAGAGTGCAGTGAGTGTGGGGCTTCCGTCTGACCTCATTCCCCTTCTGATGTCACCAGGCATCCTTCCCTGTAATTGGAACTCAGCCCTAGATGAAAAATAGAAGTGGGACTCTACCCTCTGAACAACCACTTTTTTTGTTTGATTTTTCATTTGCTTGGTGTTTTGATCATTGCACATACACTGGTGACTTCTGTTTTCTACGTATAAACTGTGAAGAGTCCAAATGAAAGCAATATGGATCAGCATAGCAGGTCTCTGCATGTTTATGTTGTTTCCTTGCTTGTTTTCCCCCATGAGCACACTTCTCTGTGTCCTGTTCAACATTTGTCCTGGCCTCTCTGAGCAGTGTTTTCTCAGCAGCTCAACCAGGCACTTGAGAACCAGATGTCTCAGCTGGAGGTTTCTTGAGTGGGATGTTCCTTCCTCACCAAGTCTTTTCTCTTCCATTTCAGTGACAGAGTTGAGGTTTTATTTTTGTCAACACTGAGAGGACATTTAGTTTCTATCTTTATTACTTTTTCTTGCATAGTAACACATGCTTCTTGAAGAAAGTTCAAACATCCACAAAGCACAGAGTGAATACATGTCCCTCATCTTATTCTCATTTTTTGCAGGGCCCCCAGTGACCTCTGTATTTTCTTGCAGTAATTTCAGCACATCCCTGGGGAACACAGGGAAAGTAGGTTAATCTGAAGTGACCCCTTGAACAGACCCTCTAGGGACAGCTCTGCCTCTTCCAGAGCAGAAACATTTGCCCTTCCACATTTCCTCACCTCCCCAACCCCCTCACTGTCCCCTCCTGGTGGTGTCAGGGTGTTGGACAGGGTGCCTGGGGCTTGCAGAGCCTCCTGGCCAGGGCAGGGGAGCATGAACTTGGCTGGGCAGGCAATCGTGTGTTGATGGAGGAGACTGGTTGGCTATTTCTGCAAAGCAGTGATCAGGAGACAGGAACAATGGGATGCGTGGTGAAGGCAGTGGGGACCAGGGATGGATGTGGCTAGGGTCACATGCTCACTGCCACGCACGAAGAGGGCCTCCTGGCTGCTGTGTGCAGAAAGGCAGGGAAGGAAGGAGGAGCGAGGCAGGGTGTCATGACTGAGGCAGAGAGAATAGTGGCCTGGACAGGTTGCCAGCAGAGACATCTGATTCCAGAGTTGAGTGGCAGGGGAATGGTTAGGACTCAGAGTGCACTGGAAGTGAAGGAAGCAGAAGAGGCCAAGGCACCTCCTGGCCTGGGTTGTCTACATAGGTCAGTGAACGATTCAGGGGACCAAGTGTGAGGACTGCCAAGCGATATGTGGGATGCATGGTGAAGCTGAACATCCTTACAGGTGCTTCCCTGCACACTTCAGGGCATGGGAGGGGGATGTGTATCTGACCTTATTAGGTCATCTTCCAGAAAGGCTGTGGTCATTTCACTCCTACACAACCTGGCCATCTCGGGCCAAACATTTCCTTCTAAGAGTGTCAGAGCTAGAAGAGATCCCAGGGAACATTCTGGGTCCCCACCATACAGATGAGGAAACCAAGTTGAGCAAATTTAAATCATTTGCCCAGAATGAACCCATAAAACCAGGACTAGAATTCCTGATGCCCCATCATTGAAGGATTTGCTGCCCCAGTGCAACTGCCCAGAAGAGCTGGCCAGCATCTCTCACTCTCTCAGAGCCCTCCCTGAAAGGGAGGGGCCTCCACAGAACCAAGAGGTCTGCAGTTCGGATGGAGGCAACTGGCCGTCCTTCAGCCTATTTCCTGTGGCTTTCTTCCCCTAGACGGTGACCTCAGAAGACCTCCTTGGCTTCGTCCAGACTTGGAAAGAAAAACTGGGCCAGAGGATTCACTACCTCAATTGTAGGCTGGACACAGTGTCTGTGACTCAAGTGGTCTTTACTGTAAGTAACGGACAGTAAAGGAAGGGACTGGGCAGTGGGGGATGGTGGGGGAGCCATCAGGTCTAAGCTCCTAGGAGACCCACAGGGCTCAGCAGAGCCTAAGGGAATAGGAGACTCCCAGGCTCCTATTAGACACCAGGCCTACTAGGATGCCTTGGAAAGACTATAGGCTATGCAGTCAGATCTGGGTTCAAATCCCAGATAGGCCACTTCCTCACCTTGGTCTCTTTAGAAGACCCCTCACTTCTTGACACCACCTCCTCATCTCCGCCAGGACCTTCAGCTTACCCCGCCAGCTGGCTCTCAGGCAGCCTTACCTTTCAGCCTCTTCCTTCCTACCCACACCCATGAGCAACCACTGGCTTCTCCCCACCCCACCCTCACCCCCTCTCCTTGCCCACCTGTGGGCCCTTTCCCTCTCACTGCCCCTCGTGATCTACTCCCTGAGCTGCAGCCAGACCAAACATTGGAGAAGGTCAGTCTGACTGTGCCACTCTTCTGCCTTCAGGGTGAAATGCAGACCCTTAGACTGGGCCTTTACAGCAGCCTCCTCAGCCTGCCCTCCATGGCCTCTTCATTTCTCGCCCTCACTCCCACCCCAAAGACATGGCTTACCCCTGAGCCTTCTCTCACAGACCCCAGAGTGAGGTCTCCATTGTAGGGGCTGTCCCTCTGGACTCTGTGCCCCAAAAGGGCAGAGCTTGTGTCACCCTCACCCCATACTCAGCCTCTCACACCAGGCTTTGAATGCCTGAGGCACCCAACCAACTTCCACGGGGGGAGTGTCATAGACCCAGTGTGGGCATAAGTGGACCCCCCGCAAGTTCTGTCCTGGCCACCTTACTGCCACCAGTGCTTCCTTCTACGGGGAGTCTCTTCGCCACCAATACTAAGCCTCCATCACACCACCGGTACTGCGCCCTTCCAGACAGAACTTGGGAGTCCAGCTGGGGTCCTGCCCTCTTACAGCCCCCTGCTGAGACGAGACTCAGTAAGACAGGAATCAGCCTAACTAAGCACTCGCTGTGGGCCACCGCTCCTACCCTTTCTCTAAGATCCAACTTGTGGGGGGTGTTGGGCCACTCCCTTGTGGGCACTTTCATTCACTCCTCCCTTTCACGAACAGTGCCTGGACATATCTACATGGCCTTATAAGTCCATGACTCTGGAATTTCTTCACAGCACTGGTCCCTGTCTTGACCAAATATTTATTTGTAGAAACGCATATTAAATGTTTGTCTCTCTGACCAGACTGTATACCCCGTAAAGACAAGGGTCACATGTTACCTCTCTACACTGTGTCCCAGCGCCTTGCTGAATGCAGGTACTCGGGAAACATTTTGAAAGCCAACATGCACACTAAAATGCATGCATGCATGCATGAATGACACTTTGAAGGAGATATGACCATTACCATTTTTTAAAAGGAAAATCGAGGCTCAGAGAATCAGGCAGCTGGCCTCCAGCAGCAGGCCCTGGGAACATGAACCCAGGCTGCCTGCATCCCTGGCACTGAGGCTGGGCCCACCCACTCAGGTCCTTCTCTTGGGCCTGTAGGACAATGTCATGACCGACCTAGAGGGAGAGAGTGACATCATGATGTCTTCAGAAGCCCTTGAAGAGGAGGCCAAGATAGACTTGGTCACCCCCGAGTCCTTCGCCCAGCCGAGCCGCATGGGGAAGCCCATGATTGAAGACCCAGCTGTGGAAGTGGTCAAGAAGATCCTGAAGTGAGTGGCCATGGGGTGTACAACAGGGCCCTGCCACCATAGTTTATGGCCCTGAGCCTTCAGGGACCATGTGTGGGGTCCCACACATGAGGTTCCCACCCCTGACAGCCTGTGACTTTGTATAGGGGCTTTTCCTCTTGAGCCTCAGTTTCCTCCTCTGCAATGGGGCTCTAATGGGACTGATACACATGGTATTGTGGGCTAACTGGGATGGTACCCAGTGCCTGGCCTGAGCTGTCCTCATGGTCACGGGGGAAAAGCTCATCTCCTTTCCTTTGGTTTCAGACTTCCTGACGAAAAATGCTCAACCCAGCAGTGTGACAAAGACCGCTCCCAGACAGGTAGAGGCACAGCGGCCTGTGGGTCTCAGGGCACTGGTGGTGGGGGCGCTGGTGTTACCACCTGGCCCATCCTCACCTCGGATCCTCTGTTCTTGTCCTGGGCATTCACTCATCACCCAAAGGCCTGAAGCGACACCAGAACCGGGGGGAACATTTCATGAGGAAAGCCTTGTCCAGTGCCAGTGCCACTTCAACAGGAAGGTAGGGAAGCCGGGCTGCCCAGGATCTCCCCTTCCCAGATGCCTTCCCTCACCCCCCAGACATTAGGCCAGAGACCACCCTGTTGCTTCACCAGACTGTCCTCAGAATGTACCACCTGTGCTCACAGCTCTGAGACCCCAAGGGATCCAGTGAGAGGTTGGTTCTAAAGCTGGCTTTAGTCAGGTCTGCGCACTTTCCTGCTGAGTGACGTGGCTCACATGGGCCTCCCACCTTGAGAACCCATCTGGATGTTCTGTGGCTTTCCATGGTGACAGCTGCTGGATCCCAGGCCTCCTCCCATACCCATCATCCTGGTAAAAATAGAGGGACATTGGAGATGGCTTCCCTTGCAGGAGGAATCCTAGACCTCTGCATCCTGGCCATGCACTCTGCCCACATGCTCCCATTGGGGTCATTAGACTCATGGCGCAGTGAGTGTGGGCCCCACTTCCCCTGACACTGACTTTATAGAAGGTGGGTAACAGAGCCAGTGGCTAAACTGACTTCTGGATTCTCTGTGAGCCGTCATTTATATGGTTTAATTCCTGGTTCTGAGAAAGTGGTAGTGAGGAAATTCCTGCTTTGCATACCTCTGAGAGGTCCTTTTGAACATGAATGCCATCTGCAATGTGGAAATAAACCTAAGACCAACCAAATGAGAAAAGCAAAGCCTATTTATTCGGAGCGTGGTACAGGAGGGGGGTCAGCCATCATCACTTAGGTTTTAGCAGAGACTCAAAGTCAGGCAAGGGAGTGAAAAGGCTGTATGGTGGAGAAAGGGAGGGCTTTAGGTGTGGCTTTACGGAAGCTGTTGACATGGGGAAGCTGGAGGTAGACCAGCTAGCGGCAGGCATTCGATGTGATCACTTAGGGCTGTGTATTTGGCTTTCTCTGGTTGGTCCTAAGTTGGAAGCAGGGATAAAATTTAGGGAAGCTGTCAGTTAGTAATCAAGTTCTAGCCTTGTGGAGCTGGAGTTATTGTTACAGGAGTTATTGTTTAGCATTTTGGATTGCCACAAGAGGTAACAATATGGCTTCCTGCAAGTCTGACCTGTATCACGCTGGCTTCCTGAATTGTTTACGGTAGATAAGGAGTTGGTTTCCTGGGCAGGTTGCTGCAGGGTCTGGGTCAGAGTTCTTTTTTTATGTAGAGTCTAGCTCTTGTCCATTTGTATAGTCAGTCTCTCAGTGGTTACAAAATGTAGTCGATGTTGCTTAGGGTTGTCTGATGTTGCATGGGACATACTTACACTAAACATTATTCACTGCTTGATGAAATTCAAGTTTAACTGGGCATAGTGTCCTTTTTTTTAAATTTTTTATTGTTATGTTAATCACCATATATTACATCATTTGTTTTGGTGTAGCGTTCCACGATTAATTGTTTGTTCATAACACCCAGTGCTCCATGCAGAATGTGCCCTCTTTAATACCCATCACCAGGCTAACCCATCCCCCTACCCTCCTCCCCTCTAGAACCCTCAGTTTGTTTTTCAGAGTCTATCATCTCTCCTGGTTCGTCTCCCCCTCTGACTTACTCCCCTTCATTCTTCCTCTCCTGCTATCTTCTTCTTTTTCTT